CTTTGCTAACTATAGATTCTAGCCTACTTTATTGGAAAGATAAATAACTTAAAGTCCATAGTAGAATATTTTTGGATGTGCTGATGATTTTATTTACTCTTTAACACCTTTACAATTCAACAGTTAGAATATTCTTGTATAACTGATGACTTTATTTAGTCTTTAACGCCCTTACAACTCAACAGTGCCTCATAGTTGTTCATCTTGGGTTTTATATTTCTCATCTCAACCTGAAACTTGTTGGATCAATGAAGAACTATTATGATTTTTCTGAGTCTCTTATTTCTGTAAAAGGTATATGTTTTCATTCTATAACATGTCCTTTAGTGCATAATATATTACATACTTTTTATGCACAAATAATCATATCATTATTAATTAATATAATTTAAACTGATTAACATTTGATTTAGTCTCTCTGGGATTATTAATCATGTGGATTATTTATTGAATTTTGTTTGTATATATTTTTACTAAAAACCCCTGGTGGCATAGTGATTACTATTTGGGCTGATAACTGCAAGGTCAGCAGTTCAAAACCAGCAGCCACTCCATAGGAGAAAGATGAGGCATTCAATTCCAGTAAAGAGTTAAAGTCTCGGGAAACCCATAGGACAGTTCTACCCCATCCCATAGGATCACTGTGAGACAGTATTGACTCCATGGCAGTGAGTTTGTGAGTTATGTTTTTTATATGATCAATATCAATGTTTGAACTAATGTATTTGCATACACTCAAATCTTCACATTATATCTATCTGTTTCATAGATTACATCAATCAATTCATAGATATATAACTTCTGGTTTATATCTAAAACTTCTGGTTATATAACTCTAATTTTACAGTTTCCTTCATGGTTGTGAACATTAATGGATTTCTCATTATTCTTATTGATATTTTTGATGGCGTCTTATTTATGTATCATTTTCTACATATATTTTCATATAAAAGTTGTTCAGTAATACACATTTTAATCGAATTAAGTAATCAACAATTTTGTACATACTTTTAAAAGCATTTGATCACTAACTAAAAGCAAAGTTTTTGCTAATAGTCAAATAAAAATAAATTGTTTTAATTTATGCTTACACCAACAATGCATAAAAACAACTACTTCATCACACTGGAAATTGTAAATCATACTTTAAATATAGTTTTTCCTGATTAAAACATTTTTTATTAAAGAGATTCTGACAATGTCCTTGTATTTGGTTCTTGAAAGGTATTAAAGGTTAGGGTTAGGGTTAGGTTTAGGGTTAAAAAAAAAGAAAAATAGAAAGGTATAACATTTTTGTACTTTAGTCCTTGCGTCATCTAGCCTCAAGTTTAAAAATCCTTTGAACTTTAATAGTAAAGATTTTTTGTCATATCATTGTTGTAAAATTTATTTTCCCCACTTATATAATTTTCCTCTTTATCATGTGAAACCTTTATTTATATGCTACTTTTCTGTTTCACTTTTTTGTGTGGTAGGGGCAGCTATTTCTAGACTCTTCTGAAATGTTGATCTATCTGTCCATTTTTGTATCAATATAACAAATGCTATAGTGCTCTCAATTTTCCTCTCGTTAAAAATGACCATGCACTTATTCTTGCAGATCAAATTTTGAACAATGTGTCATTTCTCTAAAAAAATTAATTGAGACTTAGAATTATATTTTATTTAAAAAAGAAATAACAAAGAGATGTGAGAATGTGAACTTCCTGTGGTTCTATCCAGAAACATGGTATTCATCAGTCCTTATATTTTAGTAATTTTATAGTTTCCTTCATGGTTATCAACATTATTGGATTTCTCATTATCCTTGTTGATATTTTTAATGGTGTTTTATTTATGTATCATTTTGACATATATTTTCATATAAAAGCTATTCATTAATTAACATTTTAACAAAATTAAGCAATCAACAATTTGGTTGATTTTATTTCTTCCTGTTTACTGAGTGTTGATGTAGGAAGACCTCCTATGGATCCCTCAAGACACATTATTTGAATGATAGGTTTGAATGATAAAGGAGCAAGTGAGAGGAAACCCACACAGTTTGTGATCTAGAGAGAATTGACAACATAGTCGATGCTAAAATTGTAATGATGTTATATTGATAACTAACTACATAGTCAATGCTAAAATTGTAATCAGGTTCTATGTATTTAATATTGTCTTGGACAACGAGGAAGATCCATGAGGGAAACACTATGATTTGAGACCTGTGGTGGCAGTTACCAAGTGGAGAGGTGATCACTGTGTGCCAGACAGAGGGATTCAAGGGGGTGCTTCATGTTAGACTTCTCTTCTAAGAATTAGGGACCAAAACTTGATACAGATCTAGATATTAGAGAATTAAGCATTCTTCTGCAAACCACACTCTGGACTTGAGGAATTTTATCATTAGCTCCCCCCCAAAATTTGGAACTTTGAAGGTTATTAAGTAGGTAAGAGTGGATTTATATGAGCATGTGTGTAGATAGATATATTACAAAAAGACCTGAAAAAACTTTTGGAGAAATAGAATTAAGGATAGTGCAGTTGTTAATGAACTTGTAAAAAATCCCCTGTACTATTAGTCTATCATTGGTTTCAACACCTAATATTTGTTTCGGATTTTTTCTTTAGTATTTGTGAGAATGGTTTATAGTTATTTAGGTCTGATAATTAGTGACTTAGAAGTTTATCAAATAAACACATAATTAATGATAACTTTTTGCATACACTGGAAAATTAATTTTGAAATGAATTGTTCTGAGACATTCTGTGGACATCTGTGAGGATGGTGCAGGCCTGGGCAGTGTTTTGTTCAGTTGTGCATATGGTCGCTATGAGTTGGTACTGACCCTAAAGCACCAAGCAACAAGACGTTTTACATAACATGTTTTCTGAGCCAGGTATCTCTCAGGGCTATTGTAATCTTTTTAATATTTGCAAATGTATGGGAGGCTTACTTGATCATTTTTCATGAATGAATTATATATCATTTTTGAAATATTAATTACAATAAGTTTGTGGAATAATTCCTTGACCTTTTCCAAGTAATTTTAAAGCCTTTCTGTGTGCATGTGCATAGTATATGTAGTATATATCAATATAATATGTACAAGTGCATAGACAGATATATATGTATATATAAATGTAATATGCATATATTGCATTTTATTGAAACTTCCAATACTTTTATACAACATTGAATATAATATTCCTTAATGGAGCCCTGCTGGTGTAGTGTTAAGCACTGAGCTGCGGCCTGCATAGTCTGCAGTTGAAAACCACAAGCAGCTCCGTGGGAGAAAGACTGGGATTTCTTCTCCCACAAACAGTTACAATCTCAGAAACCCACAGAGGGTTGCTATGAGTCAGCATTGTAGTGAGTTGAGTAAATAATTTGTTTTCCTCACATCCCTGTTTAGATATTTTTTCCTCATACTTAATTATGTATTGTTTTCTTCTTTCCACACTCCGCCATTCCCTGTCACTGTCATAACATGACCTAAAGATGGTTCATTTCATTCTCAATTTAAATGAATGCAATTTTGTGTACAGTTTACTTCTTACTCTGTAACCCTTGGATATGTTTTGAACTATTTTATATTCTTTTTCTCTTAACCCTGTTTATAACGTATTGGGCTAGCAATTATTTACATAATATGCCGTTATAACGAGTATGTTATGGAATGTTATTAAATGCCTATTGAGGATCCCTGGTAGCATGGTGGGCAATCCGTTGACCTGCTAACCACAGGTCAGTGGTCAGTTGGAGATCAGAATCTGCTCGGAAGAGAAAGATGATGCCTTCAAGTAAAGACTTCCCTTCTAGCAAGCTCACAGGAGTAGTTCTGGTGTGCCCTATAGGATCACTATGAGTCGGAGGAGAGGAGATGGAAGCGAGTGTTTTTAGAATTTCTCCTGAGTGCCACGTTGGCTGTATCTTCTGGATTCTGTTATGCTGTGCATTTATTGTTAAATTTAAGTTTGGGCTTCCTACTGGTTTGAATAGCATATTAGGAGTACTTGTTAAGTACCTCTAATTCTCAGATTTACATATAAATATCTTATTTGTTATTGAATTTTTAGGAACTAATTTATAAAAAATCATCAACAGTTAAATATATGTAACAGTTAAGTATACATATTTTTATATTGTACCTTCTATTTTGTATTTTTCATTTCAATTTGCTTTCTTGAGGAGTGAACCCTGGTGGCGCAGTGGATTACGCGTTGGGGTGCTGATCACAAGGTTAGCAGTTTGAAAGTTCCAGTCCCTCTGCAGGAGGCAGCTGGGTTTCCACTCCTATAAACAGGCACACTCTTCCCTCCTCCGTCCTATCGGTTAGTGTGAGTCACACTCAACTCAATGGCAGTGAGTTTGGTTGGGGTTTTTGTTACTCAGAGTGAATTGACACTTAAAACACTTCTTCAGCCAACCACTGATAAAGCAGACATAGCCATTCTGTTCTGCCATTTCAGTTCATGATTTTAGGTTTAGCCTGGCATTTGCCTTTTATTTTTCTGGTGTTTTAGAATAAACAAATGCACACATTCCTATATCCCATTCAATGTTATTCAGTTTGTAGATGTTTTACAAAGTTGTTCAAATCTTTTAATTTACTTTGTATTTAAGTCATAAGTTAAAATCTATTCAGGCTCATTTATAGATGAAAGGTATAGCATTCCTGATTTATTGAATATTTGTTTGTTTATATTTGATCTGTCCCACTAGAACAATGAGGAACATTGATGATTTTCTTCAATTTCTAAGATAATGCCTGGTGAAGATTAGGCTCCCAGTCAGTGGTTGAATGAATGTGTAAAAGCTTCTAATATTTCCTCATCTTGTTCTATGCCAATCAACTTAGTTTTTCTTATTGCACATGCTTAGCATTATATTTTCTAATCTTGCTGTATATACTTGATAAGAAAATTTTGAATCCTATGTAGTTGTTTCATATTTGTATTATGTTTTCATTTTTGCCTGTGCATGTACAGAATTTAGTATTTGTTATTAGTTATATTTAGCAGTTTCTCCCATGTACTTATTTCCCAATTGGTTTTCTCTACACAACA